ATCTAAAAGAGGCCCAAAAGAAGAGTCCCTGCCCTCAAGAAGCTCATAATCCAACAGGGGAAGAAAGAAGCAAGCTGGTTACAGGATAAACAGCAGGAGATCTCAGAGGGACATGGGGAGATTCCAGTGAAGCCTGGAGGGCGGGTTCCCCCATGAGGTCTTCTAGCGGAGGGTCGATGGGATTTGACAATGGGGATTTCCTGGTGGACAGCTCAGATGGCTAAAAACCTTCCCCACCAATGGAGGTGATCGCTTCCTCTGCCTCCTCGCTCAAGGCCACGCCTGCCCATCTCAGCTGCAGTATCTGCATCTCTGAGTGTCCTCTGCAGCCCAGAGGAGGACATGAGGATGCTGAGGACTTTCTGAGAGCCTGCTAGGTAGGACACTGGAGAGGAGAGACAGCTGGCCTTGCAGAGCAGGCTGAGGAAAGCCCAGAACGGGCGTCCCCAGGAAAGGGATCCTCTTGCTACAGAGACAAAAGCCTATAGGAAATATGAAGAACATACTCTCGGAGGGAGGGGGAGCACCCCTATGTTGTGTTTGGGACTGAAGAGTAGAGAATGCCACTGGGTAAAAGATGCACCTGCACACTGCCTGAGAGGGTGCTCCAGGAAACCCTGACAGACCGATGATGGACCTGGACATCACTGGCTCGACCACCTGTCTTGGGACGCCCAGGAACCACCAAAGTGCCTGGCAAACAGTGCGGGCTGCATGACTGCACGGTGACTGACTCTAACCATCTGTTATCAGACAAATGTTTTTAATCTTTTTTTCTACTTTGCACCTAATTCTATTGGATGCAAGAAGCAGCTAGGGTCCCACAGTGCAGAGTGCTGGGCCTGGGGTCAGGAAGACCAAGTTCAAGCCTCAGACACTGAGTCATTGTGTGCCCCCCTCACAACTGCACCATCTCCCAGGGTGACTGACTACACAGAGAAAGTGACCTTCCTGTGCTCAAGACAGACCTGTCATTCTTGTTCTAGTAACACACTGTATGCCTCCCATTTTTACTTGTCAGTCCCCAGGGCCTACTCCTTTTTGGGGACTGGACACCTGGTTTCATCACAGAAGGGGAGAGGACCTCAAGGTGAGGAACCTCATTTCCCCATGTCAGCTGGCTTCTCCTAAAGATGCCCAGGACACTGGGAAGCCACTCCTCAGAATCACACAGCCAATGAGTGTCAGAGGCAGGACTGGGACCCAGGCCTTCCTGGCTCCATGACCCCAGGACCATGCGGCCTCTGTCCTGACACAGTCAGTGAACAAGTATTCATTAGGCAGTAACTACGATACTTCCCTGTTCTAAGCCCTGAGCAGAAGGCAGTAGCAAAGGAGACCAAGAGTGAAGGATGCCAAGGTGGGCAAGCATTCCACGATGGGAGATGGTGAGAATGGAACCTGGTCAGCAGCGTCTAGGAGGTCAGTGTCACTGGGCCAGAGAGTATATGCAGGGGACAAGGTGTAATAAGTCTAGAAGGGTGGGAAAGGGCCAGCAAAGGAAGGTCTTTGTGTGATTCTGGAGTCACCAGGAGCAGATGAGGCAGTGATGATATTCCAGAAGAGGACAGGCTGGAGACGAGGAAGGAGGCAGGCAGACCCACCCACAGCTACAGCACCCCCTCCTGCAGTGGAGGGGGAGCACACCAGAGATACGTGAAGGCACAACCAGCAGGTGTTGGCCACCAGCTGAATGGGGCTGCAGAGGACAGACCGGTCTGGTCAATGGTGGCTTCCGCCATTCACGTGACCTGTCAGGACTCTCTGACTCTGGGAGCCCAGGGGGGCGGCCCACAGCTGTCCCTGCATATCTACCACAGCTCTCTGGGGCCAGGCCCACCCCTGGGCCTGCCCAACTGCCTGAGGGGGTGCCTCACTCTCGACACTGGGGGGCATCCCCCCTCCCTGGAGGCCCTTGATCTTCTCTCTCAGGCCTCTGAGGTCATCTGTGGGCCAGAACCTCACACTCCTTCTCCAGACCGTGTTCTCACTGACCTTGTGGGCATGTCCACTTAAACTTTCAGTCACAGAGAGATGCATCAGTGTGGATACTGGAGCTTGGAAGGAAAACAAAGACTTTTGTTTGTCTATCAATCCACAAGTGTTTATCAAGTGCCTGCTCTGTGCCAGGCACTATATACTGGGTACTGAGAATCAAGCAGCCCCTGGCCTCAGGGGGCTTACACTCTCCTAGGGAGACAGTGCATACTTAAATCCACACTTTGTATGTGTGGTGTGGTGCCAGGGAGTAACAGAGAGCAGAGAAACCAGGCATAAAAAAGCGACACGACAAACAGCACACAGCCGTCCAAGAAATGACTTCCCTCAAGGTGTCGTTCTTCAAGGTTAGTAAATGGCTGCAAGAGATACACTCTCGCACTCAGATCCATCTTTGGGGTCTATTTCCTGAGCACTGAAATATGCCCTTAGAGCACAGGAAACTTCATTTTAAATGTCATAATTTTTTAAAAAGGTTAAAAAAGATCAAGGAGATGCACCACATTTAAACTCCAACTAAAGGAGGCAAGAGTCTACTTTCTAACAGGCAGATGTAAGGCCTTAGAGGAATGAGCTTCTCCCGCCCCCCTCATCCTTCCTCTCCTCTCTCTTTCCCCCTCCCTCTCTCCTTATCTCCTGTCCTCTCTCCCTAGAAGGATAAAGTTATTCTCTTCAATACTGCTCTATAAACTACCTAAAATCACACTCAAATCAAAATTGTACTCAAATATATTTAACAACCTACGTAGGAATGGACCTAACACCCTTATGTTCCTGAGGATACACAGCCAGGGACTCTGGCATTTCCACAGTAGCACAATCAGCTTCACCTTCACCTTCTCACAAACAAAAAGAAAGCCTCCCAAACCCCTCCCAGAATCCCCCCAAATGCTGTGTCTGTAGTACTCTCATTGGTTATTCCACAGTGAGAGACAATGTGATGGAGGAAACAATGGAAGGATGCTCCCGATCACCTTCATGATGCAAGGGCCTTGTCAAAGCTGGGTGGTTACCAGGGCTTGCTCTCTGGCCTCAGATACCAGACAGTAGCCCATACTTGAAAAATACCCACCCAAAAGTGTAGCGAGCGGCCATTTCCCTGGGACTACCTTGGGGGCTCATGAAAAGTTCTGACAAAGCGAGCAGCCTCACTCCTGAAAGGCTCAGGTTTTCTGAATCCTTGTAAAAATCATCACAACGGCCAAGCCCAGGACAGTGACAAAGGCCTCTCCTGCACACAGACATCTATTTTTCAACTGAACCTGTGACTTCTTCATCGCTACTGTCAACTCCAAGTGAAGCAAGCCCCTCTACTCTAGCCATGCAGAACAGCCCTGCTCAGTTAACAGTCTGGGCCATACGAGGGCAGTGAGGTACTCAGGGTCCTGTAGTCAGCTCTGGGCCCAAAGCAGAACTAGAACCCAAAGGCCAGGCTGCCCATTGACACTTCTACTCACAGACACCTAAGTGTCACTGTGTCCCATCTGCTCCTTGGCTTGGGTCAACTTGACCCACAGGCACAGCCTACGGAGCCGATGGGATTCCAAGGCTAGTTCTATGGAGATCTGCTTGGGAACCAACTGGTCCCGACGGGCTGTCCTCATGCTGCAGGCCGCCACTGCTCTCCCAGAACCCAGTGGTAACCAGACTCACTTTCTTTCTTCTTGGTGATCAGGTCCCATCAGATTCCTAAGATGTACCAGCTGATGCCTCACTGAGCTTCCACTATATGCTGCTTTAAATAAATTCAGCCACGAAACCCATAATGATTCTATTCTTTTGGTGACTAGAATAACTTACAACATAAAGTCATACTTGGAAACAAGACAGCAGCAGGGATGTAATCTGACTTCACAGACTGTAAGCACCATGAGGGCAAGGATTAGCTGCCAGAGGCAGTGAACAGAAAAGCCTGAATTCTTGTTACTGGTATCAGTACTCTCCCTGACAACAACACTGTAAAGTGGCTGGACAGGACGTGCAAGGACTAACCCTATTTTGGAGAGAAGACTGAGATTCAGGGACACTGAACACAGTTACCCAGACTGCCCCAGCTTCGGAGGGAGGGGCAGAGCTGGGCTGGCCAGCAATTCTGAGCTGACGCGGTGGAGGAGAGTCCTGGGCCTGAGGGCCAGCACTCAATGAGGCCTCTGGCCTTCCACGGCTTTGCTCAGTTGAGGGGCAGCGGGGGGGGGGGGGGGGGGGGGGGGGGGTGTCTACTTTCTTCTCAGAATGGCTAAGCACGAAGAACACTGATCTAGTGCTTCAGAGTGGGTAAGCACCTGATGTACACTAGTCCATCCCGGCCTCACAAATGCTGTGGGAGGCTGCTGCTATCATCATTTCCACTTTACAGCTGAGGAAACTGAGGCACCTTTCTCAGCATCACCCAGTGAGGCTTGAGGATAGATCAGAATGCCAGGCTTCCCGACCCCAAGTCCAGCCAGCGTCCTCACCATGATGCCAAGCTGTCTCTGGGCAGAACCAGCACAGGTGTGGGCACTACCCATCATGGCTCCCGGGCAGCGTCAGCTCCCCCCACTCAGCCACAGATCCCTGACAGAAAAGGGGAAGGGGAAAAGGAACCGAGAACAAAAACAAAACTCCTTCCAGGCCACCTTTTCAGCTTTCTTTGTTTCAGAAGAAAGAAGCATTAACACATGTCTTGTGATGTGCGGCGAGACAGGGCTCGGCAAGTGTCTGAGGAGAAGCCGGCCCTCCTCGCTTCCCCAAGCCCCCCTCACTGTCTCCTCAGAGACTCAAGTACAAGAGCGTGGGCAGCGAAGGACCCTATGGCTCCTCAGCAGTGGCAGACCGTGCTCGAGAGAGAGCCAGCTGTCTGGGGGGCAGCCCGTGGACTGGATGGAAGTCTCCACCCAGAGTGAGGGCAAGCCGCCATCTGGGGATGTTCTCCTACCTTTGCTCTCTCATCCCAGACTCAAGGAGACAAAGAGACTGTGGGAGCGCTAACCCTCCCGAGCACTGAAGAAGGCCAGGCCTACCTCACGAGGTTCTCGTTGTCTCCGGTCCCCTTGCAGGTCACACACTCAGTGCGGAGGTCCTCAGACTTGGGCTTCTTCTGGAGAACAGACTGTCTTTGTCTCCTTTCCCGAGGAACTCTCTCCTACCACAATGAGGGAAGAAGGAGAAAGGGAGAGAACAGGTTTAATGGGAGGCCAGGAAGATGTTTTCCAACAAATGTTTAATTTTGTGGGAAAAAGTAGTATTTTTTTCCCCAACCTCAGGCTTTTCTTCTTCAGGAACAAAGCTCCTTTTGCGGCCTCTGGTTCTCTAAAAGTAAATAAATAAATAAACATATCAGTATTTCGTAACCGTCTCTTAAATACCATGATGCATCATTTACATGGGACTGGGGAAAAGAGAAGAACAGAATACATGCACCTGCCTTCCTACCATTCACTTAAACCCCCAACCCTCAGAAACTTTCCATTTGCAAAGTCAATTGTAAAACAGAAAAAGTATAGGACACCCACGTGAAACTTCCCTAAGCCATCGAGAATGAGCTGACCACCATTTTAGGGATACCGCCTCAGCCCAAGAAGCCATTAGGAGCATACTCTGTGCCAGGCACTGGAAGCAGGACCTGGCAGAGGGAAAACTTCATCACATGTTGGGGCAACAGACTTGGACCCAGCTGCAGTCTGCGCCACTTAACAGCTATAACTCGTCAAGAGGCATCCTCTCTCTGGGTCTCAGTTTCCTTTTCTGTAAAATGAGGGAACCGGGAGAGAGGATCTGAAGGGCCACTGCCCAGTGCTGTCAAAGTGTGGTGGAGTATGGGGCAGCTAGGATTCAACACTGGCCCTGGAATCAGGAGGACCTGAGCTCAAATGTTACCTCAGACCCTTACTAGCAGTGACCCTGAGCAAGTCACTTAATCCCAACTGCACCCAAAAAATCCAAACAAAAAAGTATGACAGATTGCCAAAACTAATTTGTTTTCAAGAAAATAGATATTCTATTGCAATTAGGACCATTTGCAGCCCTAGCTTCATTAAAATGTTTGAAATTTCCTAAATCCATCCGAATTCCAAAAAGCCTTGCATTTCCCATCAAAATGCAGGCCCAGCTTGGTCCAGACACCACCACTAACTCATTCACTTTGCAGAATACAAAGTGTACAAGTTTCACCACATCCTTCACAGTGACGGCAAAGGTCCCTAACTTGGTGAAATCAAATGAAACATAAATGAGACCAGTGGAAAAGTTTACTGAGGGAATGCAAGGAGGGCCCTGTGAACCTGAGCCCCTCGGCTGTGTCACTAAGGTCAGTGAAAACAAGCAGAAGTCTTCATTCACTGGTGAACCCTGACCCCAGGACGAGAGGGCCCATGGGCCCTCACTGCCCCCAGGCACACTTCCCCCACTCCCTTATTAACTCTCCTCTGCACCTTGTCATTCCGCTCCCAACCTCCTCTGGCTCTCAGCCCCATTCTCACTGTGAGAATTGAGGCCATTCCCTGAGAGTTCCCTCCCCAGCCCGACCCACCTTCTTGGCTTGTCTCACAAGCCTCTCTCTACCTACATAAGGGATGTCATTTGGTCCCATCTTCTCCGGCCTGCCCTCTGTCACCCCCCTCTCATCAATCTTAATCCTTCCCTATCTACTGGCTGCTTCCCTGCTGCCCACAGACATGCCCAGGCCAGCCCATCTTCAACCCGTCTCTCCTGCCTCCTGTGGCTACACCCTTGAAGAGGCTGCTTCCCATACATGGATGTCTCCCCATCCTTGCCTGAGTGCTCTCTACCTGCCTCCCAGTCTACTCCCTCAGCCCAAAGTTACAAAGGACTCTCAGTTGCCAAAGCCCAATGACTGGGCTTTCCTCCCTCCTCATCCGTTCTGCCTTCTCTGCAGCTGCTGACACTGTTCATGCTCCCCCTTCTCTCTCATGTCTCCTCTATGGATCCTCCAGAGGCAGCCGGGCAGCTCCAGAGTGCCCACTGTGTTGAGCCTGGAGTCAGGAAGACCGAGCTAAAATCGAGTCTCAGGCATTTACTGGCTGTGTGTCCCTGGGCCAGTCACTTCACTTCTGTCTGCTTCAGTTTCCTCAGCTATAAAATGGGGGTAACAGCACCCACCTCCCAGAGTTGTTGTGAAGACCAAGGGAGATGATATCTATAAGAAGCCCTCAGCACAGTGCCTGACACACAGTAGGGCTACATAAATGCTCATTCCCTTCCCCTTCATCCAGGTCCTGTCCACTAACCGAACATGTCCCATAGAGCTCTTGATGATCTCATCAGCTCCCAGGGATTCAGTTATCATCGCTATGCTCAGGATTCTCAAATCTACTGAAGCAGCCCCGGCCTCTATGCTCACTTCTACTTCCAATCTCCAACTGTCTACTGGATATCTTGAGCTACAAGTACCATGGAACGTGTCCAGAATCGAGCTCATTCTCCCCTCCCACCTCTCCCCATCTCTACACTTCCCTACCGCTATCAAGGAAACTGCCATTCCCACCCCAGCCCTCAGGCTCCAAACCCAATGGTCAACCTGACCCCTTTGCTTGCATGAGCCCATATCCACTCTACTGCCAAGGCCTGCAGACGGTCCTTCAGACCATCTCTAGAATGTGCCCCTTTCTCTCCTCATCACGTCCCACCTGCACTACTACAACAGCACAGGTGTGACCATGTCCCGCCCCCCCTCCCAGGCTCCCTGTCACCCCACCTCCAGGATCAAATACAAAGCCCTCTGCTTGGTGCTCAGAGTCCTTCGTTGCCTGCTTCACTTCCATCTTTCCAGTCTTCTTAGACATTACACCCCCCCATGCGCTCTGTGACCCAGACCCAGTGACAGCAGCCTCCTTGGCCTTCCTCCCACAAGCTCCACCATCTCCTGCCTCGGGGCATTTTCTCCAGCTGTTCTCCACGCCACGAAGGCTCTGCCTCCTGGCTTCCTTAAATCTGAACAGGGCCACGTTCTGCTCGATGTAGCTCAAAGAAAGGCATGACGTGCTGCCCGTTTCAGTAATATTTTGGCACCAATAACCCACTGATTCATTAACTAACAAGGTCTTCCCCATGCTGACCTAGCATTTGATCTCAGTGTCACACCTCAGAATGCCAAATTCATCAAACTTGTTACAATGATGAGTACTCTTTTGATCCCCAGGCCAGCCACCACTTCCTAGGTTGCTATAGTTAATGTTTCCAAGCATCTACATCCGGACTTGTTGAACTTAAGAGTAACATTTGGTGTCCCCGAGGCCAGAGAACAACTCCTCACAGGACCAGAAATAGCACTAAAGGGGTCAGTCACCAAGCATTCTTCTCATGCCCCCAAAAGCCACACAGGTCCGGCTGACCTCACTCTCCATTGGGCACTGTTTCCTGCTGGCCAATCAACTGTGTATAACCAGATGGAAGCCCTCAAGTGTCAGCTATGACCCCAGGAATGCCTTCTCCATCAAACTGATATTTAAGAGAAGGAAATGCTTCAGTATGGGCAAGCTTCTCTCTCCTCACAGCTATGAGGAGAATAAAGGTCGACCTTACGGACCAGAGGCAGGCTCCAAGATCTCCAGTTTCATGCCCGTAGAAGACAAGACCACGGTTCAGAGACCGGCCAGCTGCTCTTTGGTGGAGGTACCCAGCACTTCCTTCACCATGGACTGGCTCCCACAGAAAATGCCACTGGTGTTTGTTTGTTAATTATGGAAGTATTGAAGGCAAAGCACAAACTGGGGCTCTCAAAACATTTGAGAAGAAAAATGGAACACATTTAAATAGAGTGAGAATAAAATGCCATCTGTTTCTTTCTGGTGGCTACTCAAAGACAGCAGATGGAACGGTTAGCACCCAAAGTAAAAACTACTCCAGGCCTGCCAACTGGCTGTATGGTTTAGGTTATCTAATTTAATGTATGCTAACAATGTCAAGAAAAATGCTGAAATAAAAGGCAAGAAAACCAATGTCAATCACCAGAAGGCACCTCCTGAGCATTCATGTCAGAGACCAGAGCCAAACAGCTGGACAACTCCACTCCCCGCACCAGAGAGTTCAGCTAGGAATACTAACTGTGGGAGTTTACTGTTGGGGGGGAGGAGCTGTTGGTGGGGGTGTGTGTGTGTGTGTGTGTGTGTACACACACACGTGCGTGACTGCTCACAAAAGGGGCTTTGAGACTGACTTTTTATGTCCCGGAAGCACAGGGAAAGCTTGAAAAGGCCCATAACCCCAGGAAGGCAACCCCCTGAGTCCCCAAAACCAGGCAGGTGGAACAGCAGAAAAGTGGCCAGTTTGTCAGCCAAATCATTTCAACACTAGTCCATGATAATTATTTATCAAATTACTATCATCATGTCTAATAAAAATGTTGTTTCCCAAATGGGCCTCCTTAGTAACCTAGATACATTCCACTTCAAAGAACACACAAAACCAAAATGAAGCCAGGACCACATTAAGGCAAATATCTTATTCTTAAGTCAGTCAATAAGCATTTATCAAGTACTTCCAGTGTGCCCGCACGGTTCCCAGCCCCAGGGCTACAAAGGAAACCAGTCCATGCCCTGCAGGAGCCCACATTCCAACAAGGGAGACAACATGCCACCAGCTATGTCCAAAGAAGCCACAGACACAGAAACCGAAACCAGTGAAGGGAGGGAGGGCCCGTGGCCAAGAGGGATGGGAAGGGCTGAGAGCAGCCCGGGAAGGCAGGAAGTGGACATGAGGAGGGAGAGCACTGAAACCAGACCCTCATTAGAGAACCACTCCAGAGCCCCTGGGACAGACCAGAAGGGTAGGGAATGAATATACCGGCAGGCCAAGGTTATACGTTGCATCACTGTATTAATTAAGCAAAAAGTCAATGCATTTTGAGGAGCTAACAGCTGGTATATCCTGCCCCCGAGAATCCCCCAACACCAGAGTCAGCATTCCCTTTGAGGAGAGGTGCTATGGCATCAGACCGAGCATCATCACTGTGTTCATTCAGCAGATGGCCACAAATAATTGTCATTAAGACTAATTTGTAATACTAACAAACTGGGGCTGGTGAATTCAGCATCCAAAGTACTTTCTGACAAACGAAGAAGGCTAATGTGACCAACCTAAAGCCCTCTGAATACCGCACATCCGAAGGGGCAGAGAATGCGCAAGATGAGGACAGTCATGTCAGTGGCCATGGAGAGAGGCCTGCAGGAATAACTGGTTATACATGGGTGGAAGGTCTCTAAGTGCGAAGAGAAGGATGAGAATGGAGGAACACTGGAGGGGTGGATGAGAGCAAATCTCTGGGACACAGGCCCCACTGGACAAGCTCCATGGGGCTGGGGAGTCTGCACGTTCTCACGATGAAGCAGGAAGCCGTTTCCATACAGCCACATCCAAGGACTGAAGCAATGGGACCAGCACACTTACAAAGAGAGCCCGAGGGAGGATGATCTAGGCTGCCTCCCCAAACGGGAGGTGACCACTACTGAGAAAGGAGATCTCCAACAGTCTCAAGCCACTAGTGACACTTCCAAATTGAGGAGACCTTCCCCTTCCCTGAGTCCCACGCATCAATCCTTCCAGTCTGCACCCTTTATCACAGAATCTCCCAGACTTAGCCTTTCCCAAGGAAAATCCTAAGGCACCACATGGCAGCTGGAGTCCCTTTACTAAGGGGCCTCTCCTTTTTTTTTAATCACACCCTCATTTTCAGGAAAGAAGACTTTAAATGTTCCTCTGCCATAGCCAGCAGGAACAGCAAGGGCTGCTGGGCCTTCACGCTGAGCCCCAGAGGAGGCAGAAAGACCCAGTTCTCAGAATGCATAAAGAGGCTCTAGAAAGTGCTATGGGGCCCAAATAGGGTTGTGCTGGTAAATGTTTAACGATCAGCTTTATTTTTTGGGGGGGAGGGGGTACCTAGCACATACTTTTAAGTGGAATCTGCATCACTCTCATTTCCTCCATGAATCTCTTAAGACTAGACAATTAACAAAACAATCAATCAGCCCTGATTTGTAACTTTCCAAGGTACAAATGATCAACTGAAAATTTAATCCATCTGAGCTGACTCCAAAGAAAGAACGTATGCTTCCTAGACCACAAAAATGACAAAAATAATTTAGCCACAGAACCGAGTACCCCCACAATTACAGAAGACGATGGGATGCTTTAGCACACTCCCTTACCAGAGCACTGAAGCACGTAAGGGCCTCGCACTAGACACCCGCCTCCTCCTTCAAGATATTCACATTCTACTGTAATGGAAGCAAATCATCCCAAGACAAGAAGCAACTGCGGCCAAACGTATACATTGAAATGGGTGAGGCCTTGAAAAATTCTCTTCATCTGTAGAGAAACAGCACACATCCCAAGTTTGCCCCTTTTAGTGGGGTCAGTTCCCTTTACAAAAATATAATCGCCCAGTGACGTAAAGCCTCCCGATAAAATAAGCATGCTCCCCAAGTCAGACATTGTCCAGGTCCAACACTCCTACAAGTCCCCTGTAGGTGTGAGCTACACCAAAGGACGGGAAGGTAGACATCTGAAACGAACCTGCTAATGACAAATCGCGTGGCTGCCATCTGCAGATCCAACAGAGCCTTTGAGCTGAAAACTAAAGGGTGCATGCCCACCCCACACAATGAACCAATCACAACATGTATGCCCAAGATGAGCAGCACCTTGCAGGCCACCGAGCAACTCTCCGTCTGCCTCCGAGGGCTTCATCCAGGATTCCCGCCCCCACTCTCCTCTTCCTTCCTCACTTCACATTTTTTGGCCACTGCCAGATCTTATTTCTTCCCTGACAACAATTCTTTCCTACAGCCCAGTCTCTCCACTGACCCAGACACTGCTAAGCACGGTCCGGGCCGACTAGAACCCTGACCCTCTCCCTTCAGTGATGACTGCAGCCTCCTCATGAGTCTCCAAGCCCAATGCTGTCATCTACCCTTCATCCACCACTGTCATGCAAAGAAAGCCCTGACTCTCCCCAGACCTCCCCATCTGGGCTCCAGGCTGCTCTGGCTCCCAGAGCTGGGCCCTAGGCCTAGGCCCAAGAATGACACAGGTGGTACCACCTCAGTTAAAAGAGAGGGAAATGGAATCACAGGCAGTCAAGAGAAAACATGTGAAGCTACACCCATAATACATCGGAATGAAGGAAGAAATGGGCACACAGCATTTAAAAGGATGTGCGATGCCTGGTGGAGAATGCTGGGGACACGAGGCCAAGAAAGCAGCGGTGACGGCCAGCCAGACGGGAAGTGAGGGCCGGATATCCAGCATCCAACAGGTCTGACACTGAGCAGAGCACACAAAGAAGACCCATGCGAAGGGGCCATCTTTTTTCATTAGTGGGGGAAAATGTGAGCTAGTCAAAAAGACTGTAAATGTATGAGTTGCTTATTCAAAAAATCAATGATGCATTAAGCAGAATATTTTAAAGAGACTAGAAGCAACAAATTAGAAAAGGGGGAGGGAAAAATCACTGCCTGGGTAGCCCTCACCTCACCCTCAATATGATCTGCACCTTGTTAAGATTTCGGTAAGCAATCTGGAGGAAAAAAAGCCCATTACACCCATATCTACAAACATTCATAGAAAGCATTTTTGTTGTAGCGAAGATTTGCAAAAGAGAGTGGCCATCCATTGGCAGAATGGCAGAACAAACCGTGACACGAATGTACAGGAATACGACTGACAGGATTTCTGGACGTGGCCACTGGGGAGACCATTTGTGACAAGGGCCCCTCCCTCTTCTTTCTCTCAGTTTTTAATGGGGAGGAGCCAGGTTACACCAGCAGAAGGGCATTTAGTAATACTGACAGCAAAAAAAAGATCAGGACACTGAAATGTTTTTAAATTGCACAGAAGAGGACAGAAGAGGTATGCTTTTGAAAATAATGTGGAAACTATCATCTCTTTAACAAGGTAAATGGTATGAAATGGAAGTTCACAATTTCCTATCAGATCCTCTTTTTGTGTTCGGCTAGGTAAATGGAAATGCTCTTTTTTATGTTTAAATTAAGCATAAAAAGTAAATATACTCACAAACAGCAATATCCAGCCTTTGGACTTTGCCAGGTTCTCACTTTGTATTTCTTTAGGGATCTGGGTAACACCAAGGGGTCTCTTCTCCAATATCTGAAGGTGTCCCAGAGTATGGGTGTCCTTCATGTTATCTACAGGGTATTAGGGTATCTACAGACCTAAGTGTACTAGCTGGTACAAATTTACTTCATCTATCTAAAACACAGCGGGCACGGATGAGGACAAGTAGGATTCACAACTGCTATTCCAACAGGAGAACGAAGTTCTGGAGAAGGAGAAAGACAAGCTTCCAAGCAGGAAGGCCGCTTGCATCTTTCACCCCTGAGCCGCCAGCAAGGCCCCCTGACCTACACCAGCTATCAACGTAGCACAGACAGGCTGAAGCCAATCCTAGAGTGAGGAGCTCCCACTCCTGGGGCGTAGGAGACCGGCTCATTTGTTTCTTACATATCACCCAGTTTTATGTAATGATAATTAAAAATAAAACCACGATAGTTACTGTGTTTCTGATTGGCATCTTCTTAGGTTCTGGTGGCACATCTTGAGGAACAAATTTTACTGGCTCTTTAATCTGCCTCCGTGATCGTTTGGTCCCATCTGGTAAGGTTTCCATGGCAATATCAGCTTCCATGTCACTGCTCCCTGCCTGGTCACACTCTGAGCACTGCCTGTGGTGGAAACAAAACCAAACAACGTGTTTAAATACTCACTTTCACCTCTGAACCATCAACCTGTACGTGTATATGGTTCCATTTTCTATAGATAAATGGGCCTCAATGCTCAGAATACAAAACTCACACATCTGAACCACTGGGAAACCCTTTCATTAACATAAAAAGCAGCTCAATCGGTATCTGCAGAAACAATAAGAAGATATTTAAAGAAAATTTCCCTAAGTAATGCAACATGGACAAGAATGGACTCTCTTTGGAAAAGAGAGGTATTTTCTTTTTCTTTACTAATAAGACTGTGGTGCCTTAATCCTAAAAGGCATCCATTGATCTGGGATCTATTCACTTTTGTAGCCACTCTATCTTTTCATTTTTACCATTAACAAACTGCACAGAATTTGTTCTCCAAAGGAAGTGCTGTTCAAAAAATGCCCAAGCAGGCTTACTTCGGGGGTGGGGGAATCAATGGTTCATTTTCTAATATGGCAGACATTCCTACCACAGAATGAACTCATTAAAGCACTAGTCATTAAAAAAAAATTAATCTAACATTAAAATATAATTGAAAGAGCACTCGATACAGTAGCTATTAGTAATCTTCCTATTATCTGCTGTTAAAAAACAAGCAACCACAGAGATGGCAAGTAAAGCCACGGGAGCTGATGAGGTCACCCAGTGAAACAGTATAGAGAGAGAAGAGAAGATGACTCAGGACAGAACCTAAGGGACTCCTATTGTTGGAGGCTATGATCTGGAGGAGGAGTCACCAAGCCGACAGAGAAGAAACAGTCAGAGGTAGGAGAACCAGCACTGGGGGGGGGGGGGTGCCCCATAAACCCAGAGTGAACACAGTATCAAAAAGGAGACAGTGACCCACAGTATCAAAGGCTGCAGAGAGGTCAAGGAGGAGGAGGATTGAGAAAAGGCCACTGGATGCCAACTAAGAGATCAATAGTAACTCTGGAGAAAGGATTTTGGTGGAACAAGAAGGTCAGAAGATGGATTATGAGGGATTAAGAAGGGGATGACAGGAGAGAAGATAAAGGAACCTATGGTAGACCTCTTTTTCTAGGAGTTTAGCTACAAAGGGCAGAAGAGAACAGGATGATAGTGAGCAGGGATGAAAGGATCAAGTGAGAGTTTTTTCAGGATGGAGGAGTTTGTAGGCATGAACCAGTGCAGAGGGAGAAAATGAAAACAAGGGACAGTGCCAAAGACAGAGGGGCCAATTCGTTGGAAGAGATGGGATGGAACAGGATCACTTGAGCAGGGGAGAGGTTGGCCTTGGTAAGTGGTCTTGTCTGGGAAGTCGTCTGAATACAAGGTCACAAAGACACATGGGTGCTGGAGAGGACCTTGGGAAACACCTAAGCCTTTCATTTTACAGCAGAGAAAACTGAGGCATAAAACACAAACGACCTGCCCAAAGTCACAGGACAAACTGGGGACAAAACTGCACCAGTGGACAGAGCTGGAGTGAGCACGTTCTCAGGATGCTGTCTAATGGAGGATTCCTATTTCCAGCCTGTAATGAGCTCCTTAAACTTCCTATGTTAAGTCAAAAGCAACAATTAAACCCTGATTAACCAGAAGCCACATGCCTGGAGCCCCGGAAAGGGAGGAACAAAGGGCAACAAGAAAGCTCTTCTCAGGAGGATGTCGGGAAGAGAAGAGCGTCTGGGTGAGCTCTGCACTACTGGCACTTACAGCACTGTTCAGTTATAACTGCAGGCTTTTTAAAAATCTCCATCCTAAAAGCACAATTAAATTATTTTCACCAAGGTACTAAAGCAAGAAAATATCCTAACATTTTAGAAATGATTTAACATGGACTGAAATTCAAAGGAATTTCTTATTAATCGGAAAATCCACTTAGCTAAATAACTATCTCTCTAAAGAGATCCCCTGGATAGAGGGCTGGGCAGTTTTAAAGGCACTGGCCCATACAGAATCTAATTCCACTGGTCAGTTTACAGACCTGGAAGGGACCTCCACGGCCCAGGTGAAGAACTGTGTTCTCTACAATACTGCCCGGAGCCATCCAGGAGCCATCCTACTGCTAAGGAAGGCATTCAGAGACAGGCCTCACTCCTCTCCTGATCCTCATTCAGATCCAGGTCTGGACCAAGCCCAACAACTCCGACCTCTCTTCTAAGCACATATTTGAAGATGGCCATCATGGGCCCCCCACCTCCATCAGTTTTTTGCTCGGGCACAATGACCACGAGGCCATCCGGTGACATTATCTTAAGATGGCCATTAAGAGCCAAGTGGTTCTCCTGTTTATGCTTTCAGGTCACCAATGTCCTTCCTAAAACATGGCAACAAAACTGAAGCCAAGAGTTGGGATGTGCTCTCACCAGGTTGGAAACCACTGCAACAGCACCCTGCTGACCCTTATGGGGTTCACAATCCATTGAAATCACCAGGTCTTTTTTCTAGTCACATCTCCCCATCTGGTGCTTGGGAAGTTGATTTTTTTGAATATTAGTGTACAATTTGTCCCAGTTAGATTAAATCTGAGTGGATCTGGCCCAGTCTTCCAGCCTGTCCGTAGCTTTTTGGAACCTGACTGAGGCAAGCCACATGCCAGCCATCCAGCCTAACCACTAAGGGAGCCACAAAAGCCCCTCCGCTGGACATGTTCCACATCCATCTAATTGTACCACTTCTTTGGCCTCCACATGGAGCCAGATTTTCCACAAGAACAGCCCAACTGCTTCTACCAAAGTAATAAAGGAACACGCTAAGTCAAGCAGAATCTCTTCTTGACAAATCACTGACATGCTGGCTCTCTGGGACCACCATTTCCCTTGCTAGTTGTCCAGTAGCCATTTATTCCAATATGATCAGCTGACAGTCTACAGGCTCCATTTTATTCCAATTCTGGGAAATTGGACATTTGTGCTACGGTGGTGATAGGCTCCTAAGATCACAGATCTTAGCTGGCAGGGACCTTTCTGGTTGTATCTGACCCCTTTCATTTTATACAAAAGGAAAGATGAGGCACAGAGTTGATAAGTGACTTACCCCAAAACACCCAGCTACTAAGTATCTGAAGCAGGATTCAAACTTGGGTCTTTTGGTCTTCAAGTCCAGTACCACCCCCCGACCTAACTGCCCAGTCTTACGAGGCCCCTTTCTCATTCTCCTATGATCTTTCAAAGATTCACCTGACAGCAACTCAGAAATTAGAACTGACAGTGATTTCCAGATGCTGAGATACAGATGAACTCGCATGTGTTCAATTGTGCCTGACTCTTTGTGACCCCATTTGGAGTGTTCTTGGCAAAGCTATGAAAGTGGTTTGCCATTTTCTTCTCTAGCTCATTTGACAGATGAGGAAACTGAGCCAACTGGGGTGAAGTGACTTGCCCAGGGTCACTCAGCTAGGGAGCGTCTGCGGACAGATCTAAATTCCAGTTTTCCTGACTCCAGAGCCGACCTGCTGCAACTGAACCACACGGCAGTTGGTGACCTGATCGCTGCCATGTACCCTCCATCTCGGCCAGCCCCTGCTCAGCCCAGAGACCACCCTCTGTGGCAGAGAGAGCAGAAGCAACAGGAGAGCTGAGGGCTCAGGCTCTTCCCTCCGACTGCCCCGCCCGAATGTCCACACAGTCCCTGCTCCCTCGACTCTCACAGTCCACGCGCTCGCCCTCCTGGTGCCAACGTGGCAACTGTTCACGGCTTCGGCTCATCTGCATCTGGGCTATGCTGCAGCCGTGCAGCCAGGCCACGCTTCCCTCTGTCTGTGTCTTCTTCAAACACCTAAACTGAAGGATGGGCTTTGCATGTCCCCCACCAGTGTCTCCAAAGCGCGTAAGTACTGACAGCCGGACTCCCTGGACTGGCGTCCAGGCTCCCCTCCCCCACAGTAATTGGCTGGGATCATGAGCAAGTAGTGCAAAAAGAGTCAGACTATATTATCTTACTTTGGTGACAAAGAAGATCAAAACATACAATCAGAAGAAGACAACAAAGTCAGAGCTCCTACATCCAAAGCCTCCAAGAAAAAATATGAATCAGTCCCAGGCCTTGGAAGAGCTCAAAGGGGATTTTGAGAAGCAAGTAAGAGAAGTAGAGGAAAAACTGGGAAGAGAAATAAGAGTGATGCAAGAAAATCATGAAAAACAAGTCAACAGTTTGCTAAAGGAGACCCAAAAAAATACTGAAGAAAATAACATCTTAAAAAATAGCCTAACCCAAATGGCAAAAGAGGACCTAAAAGCCAATGAGAAGATGAATGCCCTAAAAAGCAAAATTGGCCAAATGGAAAAGGAAGTCCAAAAGCTTACTGAAGAAAATGCCTCCTTAAAAATTAGAATAGAGCAACTGGAAGCTAGTGACTTTATGAGAAATTAAGACACTATAAAACAAATCCAAAAGAATGAAAAAATAGAAGACAATGTAAAATACCTCCTTGGAAAAACAACTGACCTGGAAAATAGATCCAGGAGACAGAATTTAAAAATTATTAGAATATCTGAAAGCCATGATCAAAAATAGAGCCTAGACATCATCTTTCAAGAAATTATCAAGGAAAACTGTCCTGATATTTTAGAACCAGAGGGCAAAATAGACATTGAAAGAATCCACCGATCTCCTCCTGAAAGAGATCTCCAAAGGAAAACTCCTAGGAATACCGTAGCCAAATTCCAGAGTTCCCAGGTCAAGGAGAAAATATTACAAGCTACCAAAAAGAAACAATTCAAGTATTGTGGAAACACAATCAGGATAACACACGATTTAGTAGCTTCTACATTAAAGGACTGCAGGGCATGGAATATAATATTCTGGAGGGCAAAGGAGATAGGATTACAGCCAAGAATTACCTACCCAGCAAAAATGAGTATAATCCTTCAAGGGAAAAAATGGTCATTCAGTCAAATAGAGGACTTTCAAGCATTCTTGATGAAAAGACCAGAGCTGAATAGAAAATTTGACTTTCAAACACAAGACTCAAGTGAAACATGAAGAGGTGAACAGGAAAGAGA